TAACACAGGGTAAATATACATGTACATGTACATGTACGTAACACAGGGTAAATATACATGTACATGTACATGCACATTGCATGTAACACAGGGTAAATATACATGTAGATGTACTTGCACATTGCACGTAACACAGGGTAAATGTACATGTACTTGCACATTGCACGTAACACAGGGTAAATGTACATGTACATGTACATTTTGTGCAACACAAGGCAAATAAATGTACATGTACATGTACATTGCACGTAACACAGGGTAAATATACATGTAGATGTACATGTACATTGCGTGCAACACAGGGTAAGTATAAATGTACATGTACATACATGTACATTGTACGTAACACAGGATGAGTATACGGTTACAGTTATAACACAGATGTTAATCTATAAAGGTGATGTTTCACAGAGAATACGAATAGTGCACGAACACACACACACGCGCGCGTGCGCTCACCTTTGTGTCCGTGGTCCTTGCTGCCAGCTGTCTGGCTCATCAGCTCGCTGCCTGCGTGCGTGATCGCCTCCACGGCCGCCGACTTTGCGTCCAGGTCTTCCTGCCAGCCCCGCGTCTCCTCGATCTCCGCCAGCAGCCGATCGCGGTGCACAGAGGGCGCCTCCGCGTAGGAGATCTGGTCAGCGACGCTGGACAGCGCGGACAACATGGCGTCCAGCTTGTCGGTCAGCTGTGACGACGACGTTCGTTACTCATTAACCAACTAATTGTTACTAATTAAGTGATTAGTAGTTACTAATTAACCAATTATTGGTTACTGATTAACCAATTATTGGTTATTGATTAATCCATTAATAGTTACTAATTAATCGATTACTAATTATCCCATTACTATAGTCACTATGTATTTACGAAAGTACTACTTACTAATTAACCAGTTATTAGTTACTACTTAACCAATTATTACTTAGTAATTAACCGCTAATGAGTTGCTAACTAACTAACTACTGGTTACGAGCACGCACCTCAGCTGTCTCCTGCATCGCCGTGTCGAGTTGGTTCGCCTTCTCCCTCGCAGCCTTCCTCAGCGCGTCCACGCGCGTGTTGGCCTCCTCCAGCATCTCCCCGATGCGCGCCGCATCCGCCGGCCCGCACAGCTGCTGGAGGGCGCCACCGGTGCTGTTCAGTCTGTCGACGGCAGACTTGTGGTCCTGCAGGTCTTGCTGTATCTCCTGCGACGCGGGGGAGAGCGCAGAAGGGTCGCGGTTAGTGCGGATAGAGGATCCGTGTTACACGATGCGGTGGCCAAGGTTACTGCTCTACTGAGCCGCAATGATTATTACTATTATTATTAAATCTTTATTGCATGTCATTCAAATACAAATACATGTACTGAAGAGATACTGCACATGATGTACTGTACTGATGTAGATGTACTGTATATGAATTGATCTGATTCGTATATGATACACCGTTTTGATTTATGTGTTAGTCTATTTAGCTGAATATTCATCTGCCTATAGACCTATATAGTTATTTCTCCTTGATTTAAAAATAGTTATTGTTCCCTCCCATCCCATCCCATCACTCAACACTACTCCTCCCAACTGAGCCAACCCCTTTTCACCGCTCCCTAACACACCAATTCTTCCCGCATGCCTCTCTTCGCCTCCGGCTCACTTCCCCACTCCTCCCCTATCCCGCCCCTCCTCCCCTCCCTACATCTCCCCCCTCTTTCCCACCTCACCTCCCAACCTAGCCCCTCCCCCTCCTCCCCGCCTCACCTCCCAACCTAGCACCTCCCCCTCCTCCCCACCACACCTCCCATCACCAGGCTCTACAACCCAAGACATCGCGTGCGGTCAACCACACATCGCCCGACCACGCCCGGACATCGCGCGACCCCCGCCACACTGACCTTCCGCTCCTCGGCTCGAGCCTGGACGCTGGCCAGCGTGTTCCTCAGCGTTCTCAGACTGTTCTCGAGGCCGGTGACGGTCTCTCCTCCCAGCTTGGTGACCAGCTCCTCTCCCTGAGACAGCACGACCTCTACGCGCGGCTGACCCGCCTCAAGGTCGTTGTAGACGGTCTGTGGAGGGAAGAACAGACGAACGGTGTGAGAGAGGCGACGTGGTCACTCGTGTTGTTGTTGCTGTTGTTGTTTGTTTTGTTGTTGTTGTTGTTGTTGTTTCAGTTATTGTTACATTTGTTGTTATTGTAGTAGTAGTAGTAGTAGTAGTAGTAGTAGTAGTAGTAGTAGTAGTAGTTGTTGTTGTTGTTGTTGTTGTTGTTGTTGTTGTTTTTGATCTGTTTGTGTGATATTTACTATTGTTGTTATTGTTGTTGTTGTTATTGTTGTTGTTGTTGCTATTGTTGTTGTTGTTGTTGATCTGTTTGGTGCACTGCCAGCACAAACCTAGCACCTACCATGAACTTGAGCAGCTGTTGCTGCGCCGACTCCGGCAGACCTCCGAATGGCTTCGTAGAGATCAGCTGACTGTCGATGTCACTCAGCCAGAGCAGCTGATCCTGCACCTCTGAGCTGAAGCCCTGTGCCTGCAGATGACAACA